AATCTTCTCAAAAATCCCAATAAAACATTCCAGTTTAGTGTAAGAAGCCACCCTAAAAAAAAAATGCAAGTCTTAGTTTAGTATTTTAAAATACTAAAACTTTACTCCTGTAAAATTTGTCTTCAATGTATTGTATAGGCAATTAAAAAATAAACATTTTCTTAAATAACTCTAACATGAATCACAATTTTCTTGGCAATAAAAATCACTTCATATCACATAAGTTCCTTTGTTTTGAGTGACTAAAACTTTGCTTCCAATCGTTCCTACAGATTCAATACAATTAACAGTATTTTTGTCTTAATGTCAGCCATAGTACAATATCTACCAGCAGACAAAGGTACCAGAGCCTAATTAGTGCCAGAAGCAGACTTCGATGATTGCTGGTTTTTGTGTTTCCCGAGGCAGCTGCTGCTGCTTTTTTCCAGCATGGCTCAGTGAAACCCATTTTTCATTGCCCATCACACACTGTCTATTCTAATTAAGTATTCAAAATATTTTCTCCATTTCAAAGCCTCCTAGGATACAATGTAGGTTTGAAATGAAGACCGAATGTAAGATGGCAAGAAAAACATCCAGCTGCTTCACTTTTAGAGCAGCAAATTACTTCTTGCTATCAGTGGTTTCTATAGAAAAGGTACAATGTCCTAATTTCCTTGTCTTAGTATTTTAGCTGTACCAAGATACTAAGGTGCTGTTAACCCTTATGCAGTACTTACAATTCTTAGAAATTACAGTTGCAAGAACAACTGTCAAAAGTGGAGAGTTGCCATTATAAATTTAACCTTCTAGCCACCATTGTCTTTTTCTCTGCCTTCTGCTTAGCCTCAAATAATATTTCCCATAAGAGTTTCTTATAAAAAGATTATTCTTGAAAACAGTTTCAAGACTTAAGTTCTTTGTTTTGGACCTACTGCAATAATTTAAGAATAGCCTAGAATGCATCATAAGAGAGCAGCTGCTACAAACAAATCAAGGTTACCTTTAACATAAATCCGAAAAATCCCAGCTTTCACAGAGGCTGGAACCAACTTCAATTCTTCATCACTGGAAAAAGCGATCATATCACCATCTTCATCTGAAAGGAAATAGTAAATAATCCACTTTGATAGAGAAGATATACAATCCTGAAAAATTCTTATATAATATTTCATCAGTAGGAGGCAGGAAACATGATTGTGTTGAATCCTAAAAGCTTATGTGGAATAAGTTGCAAAAAGCAGCGAAATACAACACTGATTAACTGTTCCTCCCAGCTGTCTCTGTTGGATCATTGCATTGTAAAGTTGATTACTGCTTCCAGATCTACTTGGCATTTTGTACTAGTAAAGAAATATCCTTTGGTTATAAACTTACTCTACCCTATAGCAAAGTACAGATTTCAGGTAACAGCTGTACAGCTTTGAGGAACATGCAATGGAAAAGTACTATGCTTTGATTCTTGCAGGACATGCTTCATTCGATCACTTGGATTAACATCTGAAATCTGCAGGTCAACTACACTACCTAGCCAGCTCCATTAAATGTAATTTTCCACTGGAAGAAGTATGCAAAATATAATGAGGATTATGGAGGTCTCCATTTCAACAGAGACTCCAATAAGCTTTATAAAGATCACCTAGAAATAGGGGTAAAATTCAAAATAGTGTTTGCATAGATTTTAGATAGTAAGTAGATGTTATCTTTGATCTCAATCTGGAAAAACAGGTATTAAGTTACTTTTGTAACGAACTCTTGGATATCAAACTTTAAAACCCTCAGTCACATTATACACTATATCCTTGGGAATGGTGATAGAAGAAATGACTTCTTTAAAACTCTCTAGAGAGAAGCAAGTAAGATTTCCTACTGGAATACAAAATAAAATAAAGAAGCAAAAATAATTTCTTCCCTGAATCAATCAAGAATTATTCTCCGGAATTAATTGATATAGTGGTTTATGCGGGATGAAAACATCATCATCCTGATGCCATGTAAGCGCCACCCCTTTTCTATAAAGAGCAGCTTAATCACTCTGACAGGGCTTCAGATTTTATCTCCCAACAATGCTCTGGAACATGAAGGGAGCACCTACATGTAGCACTGTTCCAAACTCACACAGCACAATCATCTAACACAATCCCTTCATTCACAAGGAAACAGTTTACCCCACTACAGGTCAATACCACATGACTTTGCTTTTGCCCACCTTCTGCTAAAAGTGAGGTCAAGGTCATTCTCCAGCACACACCTCTTCATGCATATCTGTGATCAGATCCCACTGCAGGCTAGGAAGTTTGGGAAGAGTCCCAAACATCTGAAGTCTCTCCCCGCCCCCCAAAACGTTATTTCAGACGCTCAGTTTCTGGAATTTGTGCATAACATACTGCACAATAGCACAAAATAAGAAATACAGTTTCTCAGGGTTTTGGCAAAAGTTGAGGCTTCTGTCTGTTCAGTTTACATGAGGAAACAGGACTATTTTCAGAGCAGGAATTCTTAAAAAGAGTAGTCACAACACACTGGACCTAACCCTAACTGCTACATGACAGTTTCCTATGCCCCTTGTTTGTTTTTGTCCTACTTCCACCTATTAAAGCTTGGAATTTGGACCAGGCCACTATAGCTTGTTCAACAAACTATGTTCTAAACCACCGTTGACTTTGTTTATAAACCGAACCTTAGTTTAGTGTCCTATGTGTAGTCAAGCAAGTTTCCCGCTGCACCACCACGACCTGGAAAGTCTCCAACCTGCTGAATCGCTGGCTGTTATACAAGACTCTCTGCCCATAAAAAACTATACCCCAGATCCGGAGAGGGCGGTGGAAAAAAATTAGATTTCCATCCGTTTATTTAAATAGAAATTCGTATTTAGGATTCTTGGTTTCTGGCATTACAATGAGCTCCAGCCTAGCTAACCCGGAGGCGGCTCTGGCAGCCCCAGCAGGAATCAGACTTTGGGTCCCGCTCTCAAGGAGTCCGGCTGCTATT